AGATATATGTGTACATATATCAGAACCCTGTGTGTCCAGTCTGCCTGTACTATCGAGTGCTCATACAAGCACAAGTTTGTTTTGCTCGGGGGGCTGGCGCTGCGCTTTCAAAAACTGCTCTCGATTTCTCAAGTACACTCTACAGTGCATAGAGCTTCAGGAACATATCCCCTACGGCCTTCCAAGCACTACGGCCCTTGTTCCAGTGTGTGAACTGAGCCGCACGAAGCTTGCGTCGCAAGACAGCATTTCCTGGCTTGCGGGGGGCACGCCGAATATAGGAGCGGACATGTCCCCAGAAGCGATCAATAATCTGCGTGCCGGATTTCACACGCAGTTTACCGCCCTCAGGAAGCTTCAGGTCGTACACCGTCGTGCAATGGGGCTTGATCCATCGGACCTGACGTGGGACCCGTTATCAAATTGTGATAATTTCGTGAAGCAGAACAATCAGTCTAACTACACAGTCCGTAACAACAAGAAACAAAAGAGTGTGTTATGAAACAAGGTTGGAGACACCTGGCCCTTCAGCATCACACGCTTCTTTTTGTGTACGACATTTGCATGGATAAGGTCGGGCATGCGGAGCTTGTAGGCGCGAGCTCCATCGGCGTGAAGCACAACTTTGCGATCTCGAAGAAGTGGTGTGCCGATTTTGCTCCCGGCCCCGGCGAGTTTGGCTTGGTCGCGGGGGGCTGCAGCCGGAACAACCGGAGGGAGGTGGGACGGCCTCGCTCCACGATGCCACACCACTGTTCCCACTTGAGGTTGCACCCTCTCATAGGAAAACGCAATGAGGACCTACAACCATTCTGCTCAAGGTGTCGCGAGCCCAAACTCTAAAGCCCTACACCCCTTAGCCTTCACTTGGCCCGGTAGTTCCCCCAAAGCCCCGAAATCCCAAACCCCTTGAGTGCTTAACCTCGAAATCACCTGGATTTGCACGCCCAGACCCGGCCCCACAAGTTGGAAAGTTCGGCTGGGGACCCGTGCCTCCAGCGCAGAGTCCGGCCTGAGAGCTGGTTGGGTTTACGGTTTAGGGCTCGGGCATTTAGGGCATTTAGGGTGGAGATGCTTGGCTGGAATTTTAATTCTGTTCTGCTTGAAGGCAATATCGGAGGGCTGCAGGCGCTTGTAGCGCACAAGGCTCGGGTGGAGAAGGATGCGTTTGTCGGACATTGCAGAAAGGACAAGCAACCCTAAACCCGTTAACTCCCTAATCCATCCATAAACTGCTAGACCCCTGAAACCCCAAACGGCACCGTGAAACCCCACGCGACCAAATCGCTCTGAAGCATCGTCAGCTGCGATAGAGGAAAGGTATGCATGCTGGACTAGGGTACATTTTTCAGGGGCTCTTATTTTTTGGATCCTACCATTTGGGGTCAAGTATGTGGGGAAAATATCAGATATTAGGGTCCCCTAATTCATGAAACTCGCATGCATATCTTGAAGACATGCAGCCAAAATCATATAGCGCCCATGTCATCACCAAATCAATTTGAGAAAAGCGCCAATGGCAGAACGCTCGCCTTTGTGAACAGGACCATACCGTGGTTCTGGTACTTGGTCTGGAATGTATCCCTAAACCCAACCTAAACCACTCAGGCTTTACAAGGGTAGGTGCTTGCTTAACCTGCCGCAGCTCGACGGTTCAGTCAGGGTGTTGTGAAAGAGCCAAATCTCAAATCCCTAAACCTGAAACCCTAAAGCTGCAAGCTGAAAGCCGAAAAGCCAAGGCTCAAGCGACTTGGCGGCACAGCCGCACAGCCTGCACGGCAGGAAAACTTTCGAAAACGGCGCCGCTGTTTTTTCTGAGCAGGGGCGCTGCAGCAGCACGGGACACTCCCCCTCCCCTCCCTCTCTGTTTTTCCGCCTTTCACAGTCGTCCAACTGGACATCTCCCAAGAGCTGACTCAATGCCTGCCCAGGTTTGCAGTTGCTGTGTGCCTAGTCGCATGTTAAAGCTACCTTTCTGCGTTCTGTTCTTCCCAACCCCAACCCAAGATCCACAACCCTCTAAAGCACAACGAAAGCTCGGTGCAGGGTTGCGGCTCAGGGGTCAATGGTTCGCGCTGTTGAAAACTAGTACTGCGACCTCCGAGTCCATTTGAGCGTAAAGGGTGAGGTCTTGATCTTGAGGGCTTGGGGCTTCGGCGGAGTACTTCTCGGAGCTCTGTGCAAGATCGATTGAAGTTGTGGTTTGGGCTTCCAGCTGTTCTTGCTACATCGCCGCATCGCGCCTCAGACTGCAGCATCATTTGAAACACAGCCCTAAGCACCAACTGCAACGCTGCTGTGCAGGAGCGATCCTCTGGCCTCGTGCAGGCCGCTTCGAGCACCTCGAGGGGCCACGCAGCCAGGTCGTGTTTCTGTGACAGGATGCCACTGTGTCGGGTTGATACCGGGACAAGAGGAGGCTTCTCAGTGGAAGGCAGACTCCGAAAGAAGAGCTGCCAAAGTCGTTATAAACCTGACGAGGTCGTCGACGGCACCGCGCCTGCTGGTCCAATGCGAGGCCCATCTTCTCCAAGTCTCAGGGAAGGGACGCAGTGCATGAGCTTTCTTCCTGCCCTGTCTCTGGACCAAAGCATGTTTGCCGCGTTAACCAATCCAAGTCCTTGGGCCGCCACGAACGACAAGGTCGTGCTCGGCAACTTGGCGCTGCACCTTCGTTCCAACAAAGGGGTTATCGGATTTGGGGCATACTACTGTAGGCGGAAGAAGTCTTGTACCACCTTTGTGACGAATCCACCCACTCAGCCACATAATCAACACACACACACACACATGCACCCACACGCACACGCGCACACACTCACACGCGCACACGAGCACACGTGCACACGCCCACACGCACACGCTACGTTTGCGACTATGTGTCGCGTCGAGAAGTGTCTCCCCCGTCTGCACGTTCATCCAGTAGAAGTACTCTTTGCAGTGGCCTCGCATGCACAAGGTAGCAACGACACCATCTTGAACTTCCAAACAAAAGGCAGGCGAGTCTGTGATCTGTGTGCACTTCATATCCGAGCTCGGCTGCGGCTCTCGACGCGTCGCCAGTCGTTTGCTGGATTCGGCAGCATCCCGCCGGCTACCGGCGCGTGCGCTGCCTGGACGGCGGCCGGGGCGTAGAATGGGCACGGAAGGCGGCGACTTAGAAACACCTTGAATTTCATCGTTTCGCAATTGCTCAGGTTCGACAGGTTTGGGCTTGCATGGGGTTTGCACGTTTTTTTGGGGAGCGTTTGCTTTTTTGGGGAGCTGTGAACCCGCTGCGCCTGGATATTCCCTTGCACAGGGAAATTTGGCACGGGGTCATTCTGGCCTTATCTCTAAAACCTCGATCAACCCTAAGCCAAACCCACGATGTTGCTGCGCCTGCTTCAGACGCTCGGCCTCCGCGCGCTGTGCTTCCTGGCCCGCGCGCTTCTTGACATCATCCTCCTCCACCCGAAGCCCCGGAGCTCTTGAAGATTAGGGCTTAAAGTTCCCAAAATTCTTAAATCCTTCAACCTCAGAATTCTTAAAGTTTAAAACCCCTAGGCCCTACACTCTAAACGCTACACCCTGCAAAACCTAGGCCCTCAACTCTGAGACCTTACTTAACCCTAAGCCAACCCCACGATGTTGCTGCGCCAACTTCCGGCGCTCGGCCTCCGCGCGCTGCGCTTCCTGCTCCGCACGCTTCTTGGCATCATCCTCCTGGAGGTGCGCGGTACGTGGGTTCAGGGTTTAGGGTTTAGGAGTTTAGGGTTCTGAGACCCCTGAGGCGTTACAGGCCTCAGAGTGCAGT